ATATATATATATATATATATATATATATATATATATATATATACATATAGCTTTTTATCAGTTTTTATATACTGTACATTTATTTATTTCGGTCCATTTATGTCTGTTTGTTTCCCCTTGATGATGGATGGACCCTGTTGAAAAGCAACAGTTGATGGTCACGTCAAGTTTGAGAGCTTTGCGGGATCATTATGTGCCACATGTGTTTGTTGTCTCCGCTTGCGGCAAAAAAAGGAGATTAAAGCATGTGGAGTAGCGGATCTTAGGGTCAATTTTTCTGTCATCCATCATGAAAGGCCTGCGGCCGTATCTCTACAAGCCATCTTTGATAGTGCAGAGCGAGACTCTTATTGATCTGTGTCAAGAAGAAACTCCTGCTACCTGCTTTCATATTGCAGACGCACCGGAGAACCAATAAAGCAATCTTAGATTCACAGACGTCTGCACTGGGGAAAGAGCGAGGTCAAAAGCAATATACTTGTGCATCTTCTAGTCAGCAGCGAGCGTCTTTCTGTCAAAAAAAAAACCGGAAACTTTATTAGTTAAAGGTGACATTTTATGCCTTGATTTATAAGATGTAAAATAAATCCAGAGTGTGTCTTTGAACTTCAACCTCAAAATACCCCACAGATCATTTATCAGAGCTGGTTAAATTTGGGTTATTATTTATTTGGCTGTGAAAAAAAAAAAGAAAAAACACTTAAAAAAAAAAAGTTTGTTCCTTTAATTGCAAATGAGATGGTGCTTTTCAGAAGTGGGTGGAGCCTTTGCTTGAAATTCTGATAGAAACAACAAAACAATCCGATCTCATAAAGACAGAAATATGAAGTAGCTTTTTAAAGCTTTACAGATCAAAATGAACTCAGATAATGATTGAGAATAAATAATAGTTCAAGACTAAGGGTGTCACGATTCTCCAAATCCTCGATTCGATTACATTTTCAATTCTAAATGCACGATTCGATTCGATTTTTGATTATGAATAATTTATTAATTAATGACCAATTAATTATTTGTAGCCTACCGTTTAAACTACCTGACCTGCATGGTCTTTGTTTTACCCATAAACAAATCATACAGCAAATGAATAAAGGCAAGATACACACATAATTTCCACCTGTCAATCACTTTTTCTGCGGGACTCGTGAATAGGCAGTGATCTGTGTCGTTATAATGGCGTCGGTAAAAAAGACGCACAACCAACAGGAACCAGCCAACAGTATCTGAGGTGTTCGCTAAAATGACAAAGTACAAGTGAGTGAAAGATTGAAGCAGCCCTCTGACTGCCTGGACCTGCTGTCTGGAGTGCATGGCTGTGTGTGCGTCTGTGTCTGTGTGGTCACGTGATGTGCATTTTCAGAGGTAGAGAGGAAAGAGGGCTGCTCAGAAATGCTACACGCCACTGTGGATGTCAAATCGTTGTCGTTCTAAAATGCCATTTAAAAACAAAGACAGTGTACACAGGGCCTGAGTGTGTACTTTTCGCGAGCGGATTTGCAACGGGGGC